TATATAATGTCGAAGACGGTTTGGTCACAAGGTGAAATGGATGACACTTTATGCCAGTTTATATTCGGTAAATTAAAATCACTAGCAATTATTATGCAGCTTTTAGAGTACTCGAGCAAATTATCACGCAGTTTAGACAAAAATTATATGTTTGACGAGGGCGAACGGCACACCGCGAACAAGGGTTTTGATTTTCCATTGTAATCTATCCGTTTGGGGAGGGGGAGGGGGGGGGGGGCACACTAGGCTTTCTTGATCAGGTACCTAATCTAACAACACGGCAGATAATTGTAGGAGCCAGAAACTATATCTGTGTCACATATGTCGTGTCGTTAAGCCAGGTTTCGGTTAAAACTGTCACGTGAGGGTCGTGACATAGCATAATGCTATCAAATTCCGCAGTTTTGTTAATAATGCTTCTACCGGCGGCCGGGTCGCTGCGTCCGCAGCGCCTGCTAGAGTTCCTGTATACGCTCCCTACGTGAGCCAGAGTTGCGCGCCTGTTTTCCACGCGCCGCTATTCGCCGAGATCCGATCACGTGAGGAGCAGACTCAAATGCCGTGCAGGAAAGTAGACGTTGCACGCGCCCCGGTGTTTTGAGCGCGCCGCGCGCCTCAAACGCGTGGCGCTGCTATTCGCCGAATTCAGTCACGTGAGGAGCAGACTCCGAATGCCGTGCAGGAAAGCCGGCGCTACGGGGATGAACGCGCAACCCTGGCTCCCGTAGGGATCCTGTACAGGAACTCTATGCGCTGCTACGGAGAGGGCTTCTCTGGAGAGTTCCTTGAAACCACGCCGCGCGAGAACCAATGAGAGTCTCGTTCCTTTAAACTATGACGCGCCCCACCCTATGGGAGTCTATCCATCGAATTTCTGCTACAGAGGACAGACAGGCTTCGCTCCAGTGGGATAGGGGAAGGTGCCGTTTGACCAACACCACTTAGACAGAAGGCCTCTGCATGGTCTCCTCTCCTTTAATGAAACGTCATTAGAGTCGGATCGCGCTAACTTGGCTATAGGACCCGAGCCCGACCTTCGACGCCCTGATTGGACACGAGCCCCAGCCGAACACTGACACAGCACTCGTGCCCAATCTCAGGCCTCGATCAATCTGACTGTGGTGACGCGTGCGGAGGCCTTCTGTCTAGGTGGTGTTGGTTTGGCGCGGCTTCAAAAGCTGATGACGTCGATTTGCTCCATGGGACAGTTAATGATTTTGCATTACAACAGCACATAAAGAGGAGACAAAAGTAGAAGGAGCACCCGTGACAGACGCTTATTGAGCAAGAAATGTTTATAGGAAAATTCCACGCTCGTACAGTGCGTGGGCTAATGCCACGGAGTGAAATCAACATTAGGTTAACCCGAACGTCAGGACGTTTGAACCAGCGGCGTCACACTTAAAGATGTAATCAGGGGCCCTAAACTCGTCAAAAAGAAAGTTAGATCCGAAAGTTCGGGGAGCGCGCCGATAGGACGTCGGCGAAAAAAGCGCGAAGTCATCGTCGTGAGCTTCGGCCCCAACTTTGTGTTTGACGCGTTCAGAGGCGCAGGACGTATCAAAAAGTCGGGGCACTTACGCGACCCGGAAGTTGAAACACTGCGACAGCTGGAGGTAATACGTCGGAGACGGTGTCATTTCGGGGCAGATGGACTGAATAAACGGTAAAGGTGCTAGCGCGGACCATAGAGTCTGCTGAGGCCATTTCGTAATAAACCGAGTAACACATCGGAAGAGAATTCCATCGCGTTTTGGAACCAATAACAGTGTATTAAGTAGAGAGCATTTCGTGAACCTATTAAACATTTTTATTGGACACCAACTGAAGAACATTTCGAAAATCGTGCGCCCAAGTTTGCAATCCAGGGAAGGACAGAACTGCAATGTATGAACCGTTCCCGGTTGTTGGTGTGACTGCCTGAACGTCTTATGCAATGTAATTGGACACAAACTAAGACAGTCTCGTGGTCATTCAATAACGCTTCTGAAATCGCACACTCGGTTTCAAGCGTGCAGCTCCACCAAATTTCACCGCCCGTGGATTCGCCGGCTTAAAGAACCTTACTGGCATAATTAGCGAAAACTCTCTGTTTTTATTGTTTCCATTATCAGCAGTTTTCTGTTTATGTATGTACGTACCGTCATCAACCAACGTGACGACGTATTTTCACGTGACGTCACAGTGTCAGGTGACGTCTTGACATCACGTGACTCACGGTGTCACGTGACGTCATTAAGTCTCGTGGCGTCACTGTGCGACGAGACTTGACATGGCAATGTCACGTCATGATATCAGCTGACGCCAGGTAACAGGTAACGTGATTCGTGGCGTGACGTTAGCGGTGTGACATCAATGTGGAAACCTTTTCGTGGAGTGCCGAAAATGACCCGCGTCGATATGGAGCGCGGTCGACGGCGCGATACCTCCGAAGTGTCCCACTAACTGCTATCACAGTCAAATACAATTAATCACTGTTGATGAATTGCAACTCTGCTAGTCAAAAGCACAGACGCGACACTGATACTTAGGGGCACCTCGGAAAGCGGACGCTACTCGATTCATATGCTCCTTGGATTTTGTGGAAAGTGATTACATTGAGTTCGCAGGTGTCAAAAAAGGAAATCCCGTTCCATTTAGTTCAGCAAAGTTTCGTCCACAACGTTTTTTTTTTTGTTTTTTTTCAGTGATAATTGTAAAAAAAGAAATGTAAATATCGCAAAATGTTAGAAGAAAAATAACAAAAAACTTACTCCCAAGCGGGATCTAACCCGGTTCCGCCGCGTGTGAAGCGGACGTCTTTCCACTGAGCTATTGGGGAAACAATTTCGTTAGCTATAATGCAGGTGGTCAACTGTAGGTTGGAAAGTTTGCTGCCTATTTTCCTCCAGTCGGAGCCCTCGCGGGTCGAAGTCGGGCAGCACCACGCATTGGCCCCATTCGCACATAGTACAGAAGACGTACGCGTGCATATTCAACTTGAAGTATACAGTTCGTGCTTGACTGTTGCGCGAGCGATGTCTTCAGCCACGAGAAGGGGGCGACGGTCGGCGACGCATTCGTGCAATCGGCTTGGTGGTCGGGCGTGTCGTACGGAATGAATACCAATTCCTTTGATCGGTCCAAAATTTCTCTTTCAAAGGAAGAGAATTCGCCGGTACCGGGAACAACAGTTCTGAAGTAGAGGTTCCACGCCCGTCGTCCGCTGCCATCGCCGTCACCATGAGTCCCACCGTCCAAGATACGCGAAACGACGCCATGTTGAGAATTCCGCAGTGAATGCACAGAATGCTTCCGGTTCTCTGTGCCACTTTTTTTTTTTTTCAATCAACGTATTTCAGTTTTTTAGAAACCACAAAAAATGGGTTTTCAATTTTTTTTTCTATTTTTAATATCGAGTGTGTGCCTTCAATGACCAACGACTTTGACTAAATTTGGTGGTTGTGTCTAAACCTTAGAAGACGGCCCGTGACCACAGAAAAGAGAGTGAGCGCGAATCAAACCGGCCAGTTCTTGATCGGTGGTTTTCGGGAAGAAAGAAACCGAATTTCGAGCCGCAAATTCTGTTCTGGGTGGTTGGTCTCTCATATGTCACGAACCAAAAACCTCGGCGAGCATAAACACCCGTCAGAATTCCTTTAAGAAATCCAACAGCGTAAAACTCCGGCTGTAACAATAAAGCTTTGCACTTTCACCAGGGCAGAGAGCTGTTCCATCATTCGCAAGCACAGAATACCAGTGTTGGACGAAATACTAGCTAAAAGTATTTACGTTACCAAATACCTGCTTCATAAAGTATTTAAAATACTACTCAAGTTACTTTTGCTGTAAAGTATATTGAATAGAGTACAAATAGTTAAAGAAGTAATTCAATTACTTTTGAAGATACTTCCGCATTGCGTAATTTGTATCGACGTCAGTGGCAAACACAATTATACAGTTGCACAAATCTGGTTTACCAGAATAGCTTATTCTCACGCACCAACACAAAACTGAAAAAAAGAACCCGTAAGGTTATTTATAAGGAGCAGGATATCACTGATACATGTTAGAAAACATTTCTGGGACAAAAAAAAAAGAATGTAATTTCAGGTATAATGACATCATTGAAAATCATGTCCTGCAACGCACCCTAGACGGGAAACGGTAGAAATGGTCCCGGAACAAAAGGTCCCGGAACTAATGGTTCCAAGTACAAACTAGGAAAAAAAGGTCCCAGATAAATATCGCCAATGTGGCTTCTGCGTTTTCAGATGAATTCAAAAACACTCGCCAAATTTCGAGGCTGCTGGTTGAAAACTCGACCGGTTTATAATATTTTTCTGGGAAGCTCAGAAGTGTTTTGCGCTATGAAAACCTAATGCACATATAAAGGCATCGAGCTCCGCTCGTTATGAGTGCTACCACCACGCGTCATGACGAGATGAGAGTAAATCGAGTTTTATGGCTTCAACAGTATGACTAGGAGGAGAGGCACTCACTTGATCGAATGACATTTTAGCAAACGCTCTCACTCTAAAAAAAAAGGGTGTAAAAGGGTGTATCGTTACACCCTTTGTCCCATATAATACACCCCAAAATTTCATTTCGACTTACAGAGCCCAATAGTCGAACAGACGGCCCCAAAGTTTACGAGGGGCTTGATAACGGTGCGATGTAACTTTTTAAATAGCTAAAGTACGTATCAAAGACAACATAAAAAAAACACAGACTTTTTACAGTAGGGCGAAGAAAACCCCGACTTTTTTTTTTGTAGTCAGTAACACGTACATTATTTGTTTTAATAAGTTGTACCACACGTTTATCAAGCCCCTCGTAAAATTTCGGGGCGTCTGTTCAACTGTAGGGCGCTGTACGTCAAATTGAAGTTTGAGGGTGTATTATATGGGACAAAGGGTGTAACGATACACCTTTTTACACCCTTTTTTCTTGAGAGTGTGCACGGTTCACCGAATGACAGTTTAGCGAATAGTGTACCGCCGCGAAGTTTAACCGCCGTATTCTTAAACGCTACTCGACTCGAAACTCGACTCGAAACTCGACTTGAGGGTGGTTTTGCTATTCATAAACAGATCTCCACTCGAAACTCCACTCGACTCCAAAATCTCCACTCGAAACTCCAAAATTTACTCGAGATCTCGAGTCTGCGCCGGAGCTACCTTGAACGGCCACTCGAGCCACTCGAGTGCGTTCAGTGTCATGGCGGCCGACGCATCGTTCGCCGACTTCGTCGACTTCGTGTTGAGAACGGACGAAGTCCTTCACGACAGCCGAGACCCCGACCAGGACGTCGATGTGCCGAGACGGCGTTGCCGGGACCGGCTCAACCCGTTGGAGCATTTCAACGACTGGGAGTTTCTGGTGCGATATCGTTTTACGAAATCGACAGTAGTAAGCCTTCTCCAGTGCCTGCCGCTGGAAGCAAACGAGAGCAATCGCGGCCTGCCACTGTCCCCGATGCTCCAGCTCCTCGTAGCGCTGAGATTTTATGGCGCCGGGACTTTTCAAGTAGTTACGGGCGACCTCGTTAACGTGTCGCAGCCGACGGTGTGCCGCGTAATCGAGCGTGTCTCCCGGGTCCTCGCCGAGACTCTCTTCCCCCGCCTCGTGGATTTCCCGGAGGGCGACTGCGACGAGGTCATGCGGGATTTCTACAACATCGGGAAGTTCCCCAGTGTGACTGGGTGCATCGACTGCACCCACGTCAAAATAAAGGGACCTGGCGGTCCCAATGGGGAAGTCTTCAGGAACAGGAAGGGGTTCTTCTCCCTCAACGTGCAGGTAAGTTCACTTCTGTCTGTGCTGTTAGCGACAGCGAAGTAAGTTGAAAACAACGGCACGCCAAGACCCGGTGTGGCACGTGAAAGCTCGGCGATATTGTGACTGATATAGACTAGAACTTGTAGAGAGATCTGCACTCTGCGACAGTGCAGAGTGGTGGTGGGCCAGCTAGAGAGGGTTCAAAACCAAGAATTATGTATTGTGTGCTTGGAAACATACATTTAATTGGGTGCCTAGGTGGCTCTTGTTATTTTAGAGCAAACGCTCATGTTTTATAGCATTTTCCCCTTGAATTATACTTTTCGAACAAAATATTAGGGAGATTTTATCCCGTGCTCGAATTCTCTTCTATTATAACGCGTGAAAAACCTAGGAATTAAGCCACATTGAAGCTTACGTCACATAAAACTGCGAGAACTCAAATGCTAGTTAATTTCCAAAGCTTGCAGATGCACTTTGTCAAAAATATACTAATCATAGTAGAAATATCAGCTTGAGCACTTGTGTTCATATCATGGCAACCTGCTCATCCCTGTACTGCTCCTTCCTATCCACAGGCCATCACAGGACCCCAGCTGCAGTTTTTTGACCTTGTTGCTAGATGGCCAGGCTCCGTGCATGACAGCAGGATATTCGATAACAGTCGTGCAAGGGTCCTGTACGAGAATCGGCGCATCCCTGGCCTGCTGCTCGGAGATGCAGGCTATGCCTGCATGTCATTTCTTCTGACGCCCCTGACCAGCCCGGGTGTAGCCAACAGCCCAAAGGGCAGGTATGTACTAATTTGTTGGAAGAAATAATGGCATGAAATTCAGAACAGCTAACAAGAAGTGATGCTGTAGCCACAGTGCTCCTATTGGTTACTATTAGTTCTGCAAATCTTTGTCACAGCTAGATTCATGACCTTTGGGCCTTTGTATGGCAAAAAAAGCTGGCATTATTCACTTCCTGTGGACAAATTTTTGTTTCAAAAGTATGTAGCATACAACATTTTAGTTCTATTTTTATTTTCCTCGAAAACATTTGTTGTTCTTCCTCGTCACAGTTAGTCGGTGTCAATTGTTGCTTTTTGTCACTAGAATTGGACTAGGGCCAAGAACTTGAATTAAGACGGTAATGTAGAAAACACCAGCCAAAACCACTGTATGCAGAGCAGGAGCCTCTGGTAAGCAATAGAAAATGCCGAAAATGCAGCTAGCATGGATGGGCCGCACTGTACAGGTTACTGAACCATACTGATGGTTGCAGCAGTGGCGATTTTTACACCTGAAGACCTTTATCTTGCAATGTTGCTTCCATTACCAATGCTGCACCATATAGGTACCAAGCAGCTCACCTAAAAACAAGAAACTCGGTCGAACGGGCATTTGGAGTGTTCAAGCGACGCTTCCCATGCCTGGACATGCGGCTACAGTACAAGGCGGAACGGTCAGCCCTCATCATCACCGCCTGTGCTGCACTGCACAACCTGGCCCTGCTGCGAAAAGAGCCATGCCCACCCGCTCTACCCTCTCCACCAGTACCCCGACGCCGGAGGCGGCTGCGTCCTCATGTACTGCCATCACCTCCAGACCCTGTCGACACAATCAATGGCTCGCTGAAACGCACACAGATCATCGCACTGTGTTTCCAATAGGGATATTCAACCAGTAGCACGTTTATAGTCAATGACAGGTCAAGGATAGTGTACAAGCTGGAGAGGAGGAAGCAGACAGAAGCTTGAGGTGGAGAGGAGAAACCTCCTCTCCACTTAAAGCTTCCGTCCTACTTCTCACCTCCACCTTGTACTCTGTTCTTGACCCGTCACTGACTCGTGCAAATACTCGGACACGAATTCAGTAGTAAGCGCTCGAATAAATTGATTTTCAAATCCAATTCTGCGTATTTGGTCAATCTAACATATTCTGGGAAAGACTTGTGGCCAGCACAGAGCTAACGAAAAACCTACCCTTCCCTTCAATTGTAGTGTGCTGTTTCATTCAACTTCCGAATATGCAAAACACATAGGTTCTATCGTTTCACTACAATGTAGCGCACATAAAATAAATAAGTAAATCCTCGGAATGCTTTTAAACTGAAAGAACCCAAATTTAATTGTGATTTCCACACCCTTGTAGCTTGCAACGCAGGGCTGCCAGCTGCTCCACCTTTATCTCTCTCTCCAGCTGGAGCAGCTGGAACTCTGCCCGTCCGCGTCGTCGCTGCTCAAAAAGCTTGTTGCGGAGTATGCGCATTTGCATTAAATGTTGCGCCTCCTTCCGCCGATCTTCCCTCTCGAGGATGTCTACACGGGTCTCCCTTTCGGGGGCCATGATCCGCTCCAGTGCTGCGATGCGGTTTCCAGTTCTTCTGGATGCCCCGCTTGGCAGCTCAGCACGGGGGCAGGTAATGCTCCTTGCCGGCGGAGTCACACAAGCAGCTCCAACGCTGCTGTCTTGGAGAGGTGAGGCGGACGGCTCAGGAGCATCTGGGCGTGCAAAACACATTGGCACTGTGAGTGCTAGGGGAAGAGCAAGTACACAGGGGAAGAGGCCGAACAGCCACATGGGCCTTTCGTAGAAATGTTCAAAGCTAGGCGTTGGCAAATTAGTCAAACCTCGTTATATCGAACAGTGCAAGGACCGTGAAATAGTTCGATATAATCAAAATTCGATATACAAAGTCGCACACAAAAAGAGTGTCAAAGTACAGCGCGATTTAATCGGTGGAAGGCTAACGGCAAAAAACGACTATACTTCGTTTCAGCTTCCGTTCGAGCGCAGCCAAAGGCTGACGGACGCTTCGCAACTTCGAGAAGAGCATTTTTACGCATCGCAAAGTAGTCCGCAAAAGTAATTCCTTCTAAACAACTGTTTTGTGCGTAAACGCTGCACAATATTCCAGATGTGTACTGCTGAGAATGATTTGCAACTAAAGGAATTAAATATCTGAAGTTTAAGTTCTTATTAGTATATGTAGATACATGTGGTTTGGTGAAAAAACATACGTCCGCTGGCAACACGGCTGCAGCGCTCAGTTTTGATTTTGTTCCTGTAATTGCCGAATCATGTGCTTCGCTGCTTGTTTGTTGCTTTCCTCACAGAGTCTCTTCAAAATGTCCTTTCGCAAAGGCATGTCTGGGCGTCAGGCGCGAGAGGTCGTGATGAATGTCTACTTTTCAATTCTGCAGGAGACTCCGGCCGCGTCGTACCGCAAATGCTTTGTAAACAAGAAAAGCGTCCGGGCCACTACAATTCCCTGATACACAGCGAAATCAGGGCACCCCTTTACCTGCCGATCACATTGTACGCCAAGAAGCTGGTAGAAAGGACTGTGGCTCGAGCCCTGGTATATCCAGACAATACAAGGAAACATCAACGGCCGGGTCGTCGGGCATCTTGCAATGTCTACTTACATCTCGAAACTATGCCGAAATGCCGAACAGGTGGAAAGCTCGGACACAGACGCCAGCGGCCAGCATACGTACTGACATCCCCTGCGACTAAATTTCAGAACGTGAAAGGTCACTTTTTAAACCTGTAGCAGACGATTTCGTTGATACACCCGTAGCAGACGAAATACTCGGCAAGCGCGGGCGGCGCGGACGACCAGCGGCGCAGCGGAGCGATACCAAGTGCAGGCGAGATCGCGTGACCGATTGCCGGCGTGTGATTGGCTCCGGCCACACGTAGCTTCGGCTGCGTTCGGACGGAAGTTGAAACGAAGTATAGTATTCACGTGAAGCGTTAAGGTGAACTATTTATTCCGACGAAAAAAACTGCCGCAGCGTAGATTGCTGCATGGAGCTGACCGCATGCCTTATTACGGCCGGCTCCACTGTCTCCAAGCAGTCCACCAGCGCCAGATCACTACCGTCGATTGCACTGCAGTAGCGGCGTAAAAGTGAGACCGTCTTCCCGACAATGTTGTAACAGGCTTTGAAGCGTTGCAGCCACCCGCTACTTGCGGAGACGTTTTGTGCTTGGTGGATGAACGCGAGGTCCTTTGCTTTCTGTTGAAGCATCAGCCTGACGCCGGAATGTTCCGAGCCCTTGCGTCCATAAACCACTTGTGAAGTGATCTTTCCACCTTTTCGAAGGCCGGTGTCCGAACACGGCGTGCGCTGGAGTGCTTGCTTTGTTCAGCCTTCGGTTTGATGTCACTTTTCGTCTTCAGCAGCATGCTCAAAGTGCTTCGCAATATGTTGTACGCTTCGGCAATGCTGGACTTCTTTTCTCCTTTTTCAACGCGGCGGATGATTTCAAGCTTTGTCGCGAACGTCAGCGACGTATGTTTCTTTACAATTGTTGCCATCGCCACATGCGGTTGACGTAACGTCGGAGGAACGAACCCGGAGCCACGAAACTGCACAGGGCTTGAAAAGAGTGATGCTGGCGATAGGATTGAGCTGACTGGACTGAGTCCGAATGTCGCCGAATCTGGATGGCGTTCCCGGCACCACAGGCATAAAGCTTTATGCGGGCGTGCGCTTGAATAAAAGTCGCAAACGCCTGCTGCGCCACCGCTATCCTACGATGTGTTGCGGGAAAGCCCATGTTCCAAAAACTTACTCGATCTAACTCTAGGGTAAAGGTGGTTGTCGAAAACCTACCCGCGTCCAGCGTTTCTCTATTTTTGATGTCGCGTGACATAATCCGCCAGGATAACTCGTATCCATTCGAGTAGGTTTGGAACGCAGCCTCGGTGTGTCGCGCTCCTGTACGCTATGCGCCGTTCAGTTGCTGCACTCGGAGTAGGAGGAGTCAAAGAGCGCCGACTTAACGCGCCCACTGCCACAGATACGGTACGCCGCCAACGACGGTTTGGCGGGATGGCGGATGGCTGCAACTGCTGCTGGCGGCAGCTGCCACGACTCACTCGCTGTCGCGGAAGCGCAACGAGAAGGCACGTGATCTGTACAGAGTCTTCCCAAAATTCTCTGCCGTCGTGGCGCTGTACGCTTTGCAACAGGTCTATTAACCACTAGTTTTGGTTTCAATTCACAGTACTATCAGTACTATGTCACGACCCACTGCTCGCATTTTCAATTTTGGAACTTCGAAGATATGTACAATAGTCTAGACGTTGCCGAGCAATAAAAGAAAAAGGCTTCGGTGCCTTTTTTTCTGTTCCAGATTTGCTGTTAATATGATACAAGTCGCAAATACAAGTAGACGTGTTACGGCTCACGGTACCCATCCCCAACATGTTGGTGCAAATTTGTCCCAATCCAAAAGCCCCCAGTTACCTGGCACGTCGTTCCAGCAGGCGTGATTGTCATTGCCTTCAGTGCCTCGCACCATTGCTTCAAACATTGCAGCCGGAGGCAGCGACAGCACTGGCCGGTCTCTTGCCCTGTCGCTGTCGCAGAGATTTGTCACCACTGTCTCCATGTGGTCTGCCGCCGCTCCCACAAGAATGAGTGAGGGGCTCATCGGCCGGCTTGTTCGTGGCCCACCTCCTGAGACAGAAACCAAAGAATTTGAAGCTCAGATTGGAGAGAGTGAACAATGTATGGGACGAACAATTCAAAGAGCACACTGAATTTTCGAAACGCCTCCGTGCGAGATAAAAACAATTGTTAAGGGGACTAAAGCGAACCTAACGAAGAGAAAATCTAGCACAACTCAGTGGAGGCCCACCTGGAACCTTCTTATGGGCAATTGAATGCTGGGCACTTTGTTAGAATAGGCTTCCGGCAAGATGCGCGGACCTCATTTGTTTTCAATGACGATTGTAAAAAAAAAAAAAAAAATGTCAATAACGCCAAATGTTTTACAAAAAAATATGTCAAGAAAAAAGCAAAGAAGTAGGCCCACTTTG